TAATTGAATTACACATAACTTATGAAAACAATAAAACATTAGTTATTAAATCAGACAACACATGGAAAGTGACTACCGGTGCCATAATATATTCTGACTTAATTATGGGAGAACTGTATTATCAAAATAGAGAAATCAGTCAAAGAGATGACATCCAATGGACAGCAGTTGTGACAAAACCTATTGACAAGAAAGTGGATCTCATCGCAGACAGGGCTCAACCAATACGAGTGACCGAAGAATTAATGCCTAAATCCAAGCGACAAATAAGTCCCGGGGTTTGGATCCTTGACTTTGAACAGGATATGGTTGGATGGGTTGGGATCAAAGTCCCTAAGAATCAGAAGTCAATGCGAATACAGTTAAGACACGCCGAAGCACTCAATCCTAACGGCACTATATATACACTAAATTATCGGAGGGCCCGGTCTATAGACACATATGTTATTGAAGGTATGGCCACTTATTGTCAAAGTATATCCTATTTTTAATGTATTTATTTTTTATATGATCTCAGACTCAGGTTCCTTAGGCATAACCGTTGAGCCCCACTTCACATACCATGGCTTTCGGTACATAGAGGTGACCGGCTTTCCCGGTGAACCCCAGTTGACTGACTTTGTGGGTCGTGTCGCCCATACGGACACTCCTATGACAGGAAAGTTTGAGTCCGACAACAAACTACTGAACCGTTTGTGGCTAAACGTGTTGTGGAGTCAAACGGGAAACATATGGTCCATACCTCACGACTGTCCCCAAAGGGATGAGCGGCTGGGATGGACGGGTGACTCCGGGATCTTCGTTCAGACGGCCAGTTATAACGCCGATGTTTCGGGTATTTATAGCAAATGGCTCCGAGATCTGAGGGAAGCCCGTCGTAATGGCGGCCACTTCTCAAACGTGGCGCCCAGACTGGTATCACCAGACGATGGGGCACCGGCATGGGGTGATGCGGGCATTATAGTCCCCTATTATATATGGCATATGTTTGGAGACAAACAGATACTTGAAGTCAGTTATGAATCAATGAAGACATGGATTGAATTTATACAAAAAGCTAATCCTAACTACTTGTGGACCAAAAGTGTTTTCAGCGATTGGGGCGATTGGTTGCAAATCAACGCACAGACACCCAAAGATGTGTTCGACACCTCATACTTCGGTTACGACGCCCTCCTTATGACCCAAATGGCCGGTGCTCTCAACCTCACGGATGACATGAAGTTTTACAGTGAATTGCATACAAATATCTCCAATGCCTTCACAAAAGCATTTGTCAACACAACTGATGGTAAGATCAAAGGCGACACTCAAGCCGTGTATGTATTGGCCCTCACTTTTGAATTACTGCCACAAAACCTGAGACCACTTGCGGTCAACCATTTGGTCGACAATATTAAGGCCCACGACTACCACTACACCACTGGATATATTAGTAATTTTAAACACTTTTTTGATATAATATAACTTACAATATAACTTTATTTATTAATGTTTATTCCCAAGGTGTCAATTTTGTGAATGAAGTGCTCGTCAAATATGGGCACCGGGATGTGGCGTATAAATGCTTATTACAGGAGTCATTCCCTTCGTGGGGGTATGAAATAGCACATAACGCCACCGGAATGTGGGAGCACTGGGACTCATGGACTGAGGACAAGGGGTTTATGGACCCCGGGATGAACTCATTCAATCACTACAGTCTGGGAACTATCGGCAGATTTATATACCAATACGTGGCCGGTATTGACACCGACGACCAAATGGTGGGCT